GGCCCTGTTTAACTGTCAAACCTTCCATAAGAGAGTAGACTGAGAGAATTAAGTCCATGGTAGGGTTGAAGTTTGAATCAGTGGAATTTGTCCAGCTGAATTTGGAAAGGCCATCGCATTCTTTCCAACTACTTTGATGGATTGAATGTTTGAAGATTGACTATTAAATTTTATGAATAAGTTACGAATTTCTTTATTTGAAATCCTACTTAACAAATGGTGTTCTGAATTTGGTTTGACTAATTATGTTGATTGTTTGACACTATAATTGAACTTTACCCATTTATTAGTAGTCCTGAAAAGGTTTGTTGTTGAAAATAGTGAGTAATGTTTTTTGAAAACCACAGTAGAAGGCATCATCAGAGTTAAATAAAGGGTTTTTTGTGAGATAAGTTTTTTTTTTGCATCAATTTTTTCCTGTGATGTTATAACAAATAACATTACCAGAAAACTGGCCAATCAGCACCCATGCCTTCATCATATGCAGCTTGGCATTAACCATTTCCTTATATTTATGTTATATTACAGAATGCTCCTGTCTCCAAGTGACATCCTTGAAATTTCCAGGTAATTTCTTGCTAAATCTGGATCAATATTTCTTGCATTTTTCAATTGTCAAGCTAATTATGTGCAAGAAAGGAAGTTGCTTGAGAATTTGTTTAGTGTAACACTCCTCTATAAGTTTACTTGCTTTTAAAAGTAAAGCTTGACTCTGCTGTTTGAAATACTCCTTGCATTTGAAATGTGGTTGGACTTGTTCTTGTCATTGGGTATAATGGACCATCAGGCTACTTTTTTTTATATTAGGTACTCTGGGTACACAAACATATCCCTTAGACATTTTGGATGTTACAAATCAAACTAGTTTCAAATCATCTTAACCAGAAATTGTATCAAACTTAAATATATGTCATCAATTGTATATGACCAGTATAAAACTTTATAAACTAATTTTAATTTTTCTATGTCTGAGATCTATTACAATACGATCATCTGGGACAAAAGAAAGCAGAAATTTAACTGATATGGACTTCTTTTAGCCAAAATAAAATTAAACACAACACTCGCAAGCTCATTGGTGGTCATTGTAATATTATTTTATATTTAACCTAATTTTGAGGACATGAACAATTTTTGTGGTTTGTATTTCTCTCAAACATTTAATTTAACCCTTTAGACCCTGATATTAGCATAAATATTCTCTAGACTGCTAATGTTACATTTCCTTCAGTACTGACAAGGAGAATTTGTTGGACAATCAGGAACTTTTGGTGATCATTTCTTTTATTCTCATGACCTTAACTTTTGATTTGAGGGTGGTAGTGTAAGGAGAAATTAGATGCCAATCATTCTACAAGAGAAAAGGCTTAGGGTCAATTTAAGCATTTTCTTCAAATTCCTCTTTAATTTTATGATTGTCTTTTTTTTTAACAGAATGGCATTTGATCAAATTCAAGCACCACCAGCTTCTAAAGAAGTTGTTGAATCTTTACCTTCCATACCTATTACTACTGAGCACATCGGTAAGTTTTTGAGTGTTTAATTTTGTTCTCTCTTGCTATTGCTGTTTAACAAATCAACAGTAGTTTAGCATGGTCTGTGCTCTTATTAACAACAATATTTGTCATCATAGCGGTCAAAATGTTGTGGAATTATGAGATGCAGCACAGTGATTCAGCAAAAAATTTTGACTGCTGTGATGACAAGTTTCTTTGTTGATAAGGATACAGACCATGCTAGACTGCTTTTGATTTGTTTTTATACCACTGACAATATTGATTTCAAATAAAACAGTCTTTCTTGTTTGAGAGATGATGAAAACAATGATAAAGGCATTGTGTGATGTGTTGATGCAAGCAGTGTTGTCTGTACTCTTATTGACAACAGCAAATTGGTTGGTAAGATTATGACATTATTGCCAATTGTGGTGAAAAGTTGCAACATCTGGAGTATCTGTGATTGATTTTCCAATGTCTGAGGAAAAGTCAAGCTGCATTTTGAGGTGAAGATCAATCTATCAACTTCTACTCAAAAGTATTAGTTGGTTAACTTATTGATTACTACAACTGTGATGTGCTTGCACATGTAAACAGTCTGGCAACTTATGAATGTATTCTTTTAAAGAATAATGTTTATCTTTTATGTGTTCTCTTTCTAGTTAAAGGTTGTTCATGTCCCATATGTCAAGTGGAATTCAAGGTGAGTAATTTGAATTCTCTTCCTCCACAGTGTTAAGCATGAGTGATGCAAGCCAAGAGGGGCCTACTGTAACTTTTTCTTTTATGATGAAATGATGCCTACAAAGTGAACAGGAATCATTGTATCAAACATGAACTATTTTCTTCTTTTTATGATGTCAGATTGGTGAACTTGTCAAGAAACTTCCTTGTGATCATATGTTCCATAAGAGTTGCATTCTGCCGTGGCTGAACAAGGTAATAGTCACATGACTTAACAGTTACTTTAAGTTAACACTTTGATCCCTGACAGTGACTAGCATTTATTTTCTCCTTACAACATCACCCTGGAATCAAATGTCAAGGTCATGAGAATAAAGAAAATGATCACCATCTTAAGAAGCTCTTGATTGTCATTTGTGATTTTTTACTAAACAGACATGCAGTAGCATGGAATAGTGTATTTGTTAATTTGATTACTCCTCCAGGGAGGAGCGCTCTATACCTCTATAAGAGATGTGATACTTTTGTGCTGTTTTTGGACATATCATCATAATGGTGATGACCTTGCAAAAAAAAAATTCATTTAGACCTTGTCTTTTTTTCCATATAGATTACTCCATTAAGGATTGTCAGGGGCTTTGATTATTAACTTTCTCGCTTCATTCTAGACCAACAGCTGCCCTATGTGTAGGCATGAGCTGCCTACAGATGATCCTAAGTATGAAGAAATGAAAGTTTTAAAGGTAGTTTGCTATTTGATTAACTTGAAATAATTCAGGAGAAAGCAAATAATCTTGTACAAAGTTTTAAGGGTAGTATATGCTACTTGATTAACTTGGTCCTAAGCATTGGGTATGGTTTCCCAAACAATTGGCCAAATTCAGCATACAGACAGCAGTGGGGTGGGCAGGGGGATAGTAAGGGTCTTTTGTGTTGTAGTTGTGCTACCCTGCAGTTTTAAACAGAGAGTCCAGTCCCTGATCAGCAAGAGGCTCTTTATAAAACAAGTAGCTACAAAATAGCAAATTATATATTTTGGGAAATCCAAAAACAGAAACATATTTATAAGGTTGTTTTGATTTGGATGCCTGAATTACAGATTTGAATGGCAGCCAGGTTTCTTTTTTTTTTGTATGCAATTGCTTATGACTAAGGGCCTACAATAGTATATTTTTTATGAATACCAGTAGGTTGCAACTTGGAGCATTTTGAAAATGTTTCTGTGACTCTACCATCTAGGAACTGAAAATAAGAATTTCTTTTAAAGCAAAATAAACTAATTTCTTTTACAGTTATCAAATGTTCCTCAGGCCAGGCAGGAAATATATTATAATTAGTTAGTTCATACCATGCTATGAGGTTGCACCTGCTTTCCTAACTTCATATTTAACTGTCCTACACATGTTAAAACTCAATATCAAGAATTTATGGCTATTAATAATTGTTCATTCGATAAATGTCTTGCGGTTTCTATGTGCAGGTGAAGGAGCAAGATCAACAGTTCAGGGTGGAAACACTTCATGACTCAATGTTTTCTTAACAAAATCAGCTGCCTCAAAGAGTTTTGAAGTGTTTATATTCTACCAATTGATAATGTTATGGAAATGTTATTTAAGGCAAAGTGCAACAAAGGCCAACACTTAGAGATTTAAGTATCTATAACTCTGTTAAATTTACTTAATATTACTTTTTGACACAATTGCTATCATTTGAAAAAATTACAGCCAGCTGAAAGGCTTTTGATCAGTATTGCATCAATTGCGAAAGGATGATCACAATTTTAACAATTTCAGTGACTGTGTCAAAAATCATCTAGACTAAGAATTCCCATATTAAACCCTCAACATCTAAGAGTGATAAGTATCTGGTTTCTCCCAAAAATATCACCCCTGTATGAAACATTAAGGTCATGGGAGTTAAGGAAATTGTAGCAATCTCAAGAAGTTTGGTTAAATTCCCCTTGTAAATATCATAGGGAATGTATAGAGAACAGTATAGAGAAGATAAATACTGATAATACTGTGAAAATGGTTAATGCAGAGCTATCTGATTTTTACCCCAATAATCTAAATATTTTAATTTTAAAAGGAGTTCATTAAGATTGCAAAAAGGTCTATTCTTTTCAAACTTGTGGGTAAAAAAAAAAAATTCTCTGAATCTAAATCAGTACAGGAAAAAAAGAACAACTTGCACTATTCAACTGGTGCTATAATGTGTATAAATATTTTAACTCAAGCTTAGTAAACCACACTGTAATCATGATTCAAACCAATTAATTATATAAAAAAATAGAAATGAACTCCATATGTATTATAGCTTTTACTGAAAATAAAATATAATTACATATTCCCCATTGTGATGTTTATATATTGTTTCATCAAAAGGGATTCTGTGTGCTGACATTTCTGTATTTTAAGAACCTTTATTGGGTCAGAGGAGAATCGGGGGTGAAAATCTACTTTTTCCCATTTCCTTCTCTCCTGTCAGCTGTTCTTTATTTAGAAACGGTGATGAGTTATGTATAGCAAATACCCACAACTTTGTGTTTCCTCCTGTTTCTTGCCTTCATTCCTGCCCCCCACGAAAAAAACTGCTTCTGCATGTATCCAGTTTCTCTATCCTGTTATCTGCACAAAGGGATTAAATGGCCGGTAGTAAACTAGAACTTGATGGGCTCTACATATTGCCACGAGTTGCTGAAAGCAGAAATACCACGAGGCTGAATTTTCCTATTCTTCTCTCTGACCCGTGACACACCTGTCCGTGAGAACCGGGATTTGTTTAATCGAAGAAAAGGACCTGGGAAGCACACTACAGATCCAATATGGCGGACACGGAGGCGAAAATGGAACCAAACGCTACACCTCCAAAACACGAAGCTAGCAGTGACGATAAAGACGCACACAATACTTCATATGAATCGAAACCAGAAGAGCCTGTCGAAGGACTAAAATCGGAAGCTTCAGGTGGAGAAGTGATGTCTTTAAAAGACTGCTGCAGGGAGGCCTTCGCCAAGATCACCGAATATTTGAACGGCGAACTAGCTGGTAAGCTAGATTAATGTCATAAAATACGTTCAGATGGTACAAAATTTGCTGTTTACGTATCTTAGAATATTACTATATATGAATAAATTCCAATCGACCCATGAAAACCGATGTCGAAACTGTTGTCAATTGTGAATCGTATGATCGTTTGTTAACCCCTATACACCTAAGCTAACATCAGTATGTATATTCTCCATACTGTTCTCTATATATTTGCTATGGAACAAACAAGAAGAGTTTTTCAAACAATCAAGTGCCTCTTTGGCTATCGTGACTATCGTGACGTTAATGTTTGATTCAGGGTAATACTCTTGTGAGAAATTAGATACTAATCTTTCCTAGGAATTAATGAGTTAAGCCGTAGATCTGTAAAAAGATATTCACTTGAAACAGTTAATGCGATTGATACTTTTGGGATTGGAATACTACAATTTAGTAGATGCCATGATGGGTTTAATGTGATCCCAAG